AAAACCCAGGCATTTACAAAACAGCTGATGAACCTTCAACAACACTAAATGCACGTGCAGATCACAGCAGGAAAAGCACTTCAGCGCAGCTTTTCAGAGAAACTTGAGACTTCTCTGTCACTCTCAGTCCTTCCAAAGAGTTCCTGACAAACCCTGATCTGCACTTTGTGAGAAATAAAGCTGAGCTGACAGGTCTCAGTGGGGTCTGCTCATTACTGACGTGCAGTGTGCGTCGGGCTTACTGGCGCTTGTGTCAACGAGCCTCTGTTTGTGAAAAACGGTCTTCATTTCCACCTGCAGCTCGTCTCTACGTGCAGCAGACGCCCTGAGGGAACCACGATCACGACATGCAGCACTCTGGGTGATTATCCCGGGTAACCGTCCTCAGACTGCCTGTCGTTGCCATGGCGCTGTTGCCCAGGTCAGCGCGGCATCGCCTCAGCAGGAGAGGAATCGTTTTGGGGGGTGGGGGCGGTGGTGGTGTGAGATGGTGCGGTTGTATTACAGAGTGTCTGAATGCTGAGCCGCTTATCAGCTCGACCACACCATCACTCTCTCAGCGGGACTTTGAGCTGCTAAATGGAGTTTTTTAATTGGTTCTGCTGCGTGGCGGGAGTCTCTGCAGGAGCAGCCATGTTGGCTTCGGTTTGAGAATCAGCCTGCTGTGGACTTGGCGTGCTGATCCTGGTCACACCCAGCGGAGGGTTCACGTCTGAATTAGCACCGGAGAAACTGGTGTCACTGTGAGCCTTTACATCCCTGCACCAAAGGACACCTGATGTGATCTGGAAGGACCGCAGCCTTTGACACCCTGTGAAAGAGAAAAAGCTGCTTTTCTTTTCCAAGCTACAGGACGAAGAACACACCGTGTGTTTACCGTAGCTTTATTTTAACCGTAGCTACATTTACTTATGTGGTACTAGTTTACATCCATCCATCGTCTCCTGATTCTGTGGGTCTGGGTTGCAGGTGTTAAGGTTGGTCGGTATGTTTGGAGAGCGGGAGAGAGGAAACAAAGTATAACAAAAAGCGAGACGTTTATTAGGCTGAATGCATGAACACAAGGCAAGGTGAACTGGGGCAGAACTAAACTAAAACTAAACTGGGAACAGCTAAGAAATCCATGAGGACGTGAATTTGAGCAGGCGCATGTAAAAACCAAAACCTGGCGTGACATGAAGTGATGCAAACAGACACTGAACAGAGCGAGACAGAGGACTAAGGTAATGAGGAAAGGAAACACCTGGGGAAACACAGCTGACACAAATAAACATGATGCTACACTAAAACACTCCCATACCAGCTGAGATATAATGTGTCTTAAGTTCATTCTAGTCACATCAGCGGGCTCCTCTGAGCTAGAAGAGTAGCTCCTCACTTTTATGGCCCCTCCATGAATCATGGCCCCGTGGTCCTCAGACCCACCCTAGAGCTGGGTGTGGTGGACGAGCTCAGCCCAGTCACATGGGCTCACACTGGAGGCTGTAGGAGTCCAATCCCCAGCCGGCTAAACCTTTTACAGTTTTTCTCAAATGTTAAAACACAAAAGCCAATCC